GCGTTCTCACAGTAGCATCGTTGCGGCTGTTGAAGATGGAGGTTCTTATTCCAGCTCCCGCCGACTGTGAAGTGCGGTCAGTGATAACGCTAGGCCGCACACGGTTCGACGGACAGCAAGTCTCCTGCAGGAGTTTAGCTGGGAGGTGTTTAATCATTCACCCTACAGCCCGGATCTCGCTCCCAGTGATTTCCATCTTTTCCTACACCTCAAGAAATTCCTGTCCGGTCAGCGTCAGCGTTTTGAGAATGACAGAGAGGCGGAGATGGTTGTCACACAGTGGTTCCCATCCCAGGCGGCAGACTTCTACGACCCAGGTATTCAAAAGTTGGTCCCACGGTATGACCAATGTCTCAATTCCGGTGGCGAATATGTTGAAAAATAGCTGGACACTTGCTGTATCTGTTGCAATAAATATTTCCATGAAATTGTGTTTTGTTTCTGTAAACGGCCCCAGGGAAACTTACTTTTGGGACGCGCCTCGTATGTATGAATTTCTTGTTCACCAATCATTTCTATATAGACAAATACCAAGATAACTTCTGAACATAATAATCTGTTCACATTAAACAAACCTGTTTTCCGAGGCAGAATAGCACCCATACGAGGAGGTTTAATTACTGATGTCAACGTAGTTACTGGTGTATCTCGAGGAACAATGGGCACATAGCGAGTTCCACCTGATCCTGGCAGCAGAAAATCATCTCTCACTGAAACAGGAAACAGTTTACATATCATATTTACCTAAAACTCAGACACGTCTTTTCTTTTTATAAAAACAAGGCCATTATTAAATTTTCATACAAAAATTTACCCTAGTTAAGTCAATGTTTTTGTTTTATTCTTCAATCTATTATGTAGGTACTAAAAAGTGGCACAAAAATGCGAAACAAATGCACCGTGGATAATATTTCATATGGACCTGCAATGTTTTAAATGCTCAACCTAACAGAACATTTGCAATTACAGAGAAACAAGTCACTGAGGTCTAATATCACTGTATACATTACTCAAATCAATCTTTAATTATTTTATTAGATTATAACTACATGTAGGCAAAACATGTCACGATTTAGAAATATATCATAAAATCAACTGCAAAGTTCCTGATAAACTGCAAATCATCTGCAAAGTTACTGATGTAAATGTCTGTCATGCTAAATGAACACCAGACTAATGAATAGAGAAACACAAAAGGATGCCTATATACAATATATTTCAATAAAGGCAACTCTCGGTTTACGAATGAGTTCCGTTCCGAGACGTTGTTCATTATATGTTTTTGTTCATTATGTGTACCTTGCATTCCTGAGATTTTACGATACATATCGTATACATTAGCAGCCATTTTAAAGCATTAAAACTATGTTCTAAACATTGAATGGTCTATACCAGTGGTATTCAACCTGGGGTACGCAAAAACATCTTAGGGGGTACATGAAATTTAAAATATATATATATATATATAATTTTATGATAAACACTGAATAATCAGTAATGTAATTTATTTAAGATGTAGATTATATACTATGTATAACTTGAATTATACACCAACAACTTTGGAGGTACAAAGTTGAAGAGAAATTGTATCTGGGGGTACGAGAACAAAAAAGGTTGAATACTTCTGGTCTATAAAATACGTTTTATTATAATGTGTGTATGCGTTATGCGAGCAAACATTCTATGCGGTGTGGCATGTAAACCAAGGTTTTTAACTGTCTAGTTCAGCTTTATTAACCAAGAATAATTCAGCATAATTATCATATAATAATTTTCTGATACTTATTGTAATAAATACATTTTTTAAAAGTTTATTTATTTAAATCTTACAATTATGTTCACTATACATTTGGCATTTCGTTTTATAAGGAAGTCTATCTATTGGCGACTTTTAAGAACTTTTGAATGAATTGTGACGTTCGTTATAGCGAATGTTCGTTAATTGAACATTCGTAAACCGAGAGTTGCCTGTATTATCTATCTTGAACTATCCAAAGATGATCATATTGTTAACAATATGGAGTGAACAAGCCAAGAGGGTGATGAGGAGAAGCATCATCCTCCTTCACATCTGATGCATACAGAAAAACTTACAGCATTATTAAAATTGGACTCTGTAACAAGATGTACAGAATAGATCATCTAAGAATGCACATTATCAGAAGTGAGTTGTGTTTCCACGTCTGGAACCAAATCATCCAAAATAAATAGTGCAGCTGGATGGAAGAAAACAATAATAGGTTTCTGTGTCCAAGCAAAGAACATCGTGTGATGGAATTTCTTGTCACTTACATTTTAGAGGGGTAAGCTATCACAGATATTCTTCATCCCAGGATGTTTAAGAGTTGAAGTCAA